TGTAACTGTTGGATGCGCTGATAAATCCTTGCTTCATTGGAATGACGTCCAGTTGTCAATCGTTTTGAATATTCATTGCATTTACGGCCTAGGAAAGCTAGACCGTTGTTGAACCACATAATCTAATCCTTGATAATGGTTTTCTGGTGTCTCCAGAAAGGCCAGACATCCTTTAGGTAGACTCTGAATCTTTCTATTTTACGATAAAATGTATTTAACTTGTAGTAGCCCTTACCTTGGTCTGTTTATTCATGAAGGAGAGAATAACCGCACACATAGCGTGATCAAGTCCTAACAGGGGGGTTCTAGGAAATACTTCAGCAACTTGAAGAGAACCTTCCAATTCGTTAGAGAGGAGGATTAAACTGTCATTTCGTCAAAATGGACATTTTTTATTTTTTGAATGAAATTGAAACCGAGTTTTTTAACCAAAAACTCGTCAAAATTTATTGTTCCTGAGGGTCCGGCGTTCGTAAAATGCTGGACCCCCTGGTTGTACATGGACCTAGCTTGAGACCAGGTACCTCCAGGCAGTCCTGCCTCAAGGTACCTGGTCTTAAGCTAGGTCCATGTACAACCAGGGGGTTCAACGTTTGTGGTCCCCTAAAAAACAACAAATTTTGACAAGTTTTCAGCCAAAAAACTCAGTTTCAATTTCATTCAGAAAATAAAAAATGTTCATTTTTACGAAATGGTCGTTATTAGGTCAATGCGTGACTTAATGACCATCATATCCCGATTCTTTGTAAAGCACGAGAAGGTCCGGTGGGTAAGGTTCAATCCTCTGAATGAGTCAAACATGTGAAATGGTTGAGTTAGAATGACAATCATTACTTCATCAGCCACCACATAGGTTGGGCAGGGGGTAGGAATACGCCAACGATCCAGGGATCAATTTGGAGCAGCGTTAAAATCTCTTGCTATGATCATTGGGATGCCAATTGGAAGTTTGGGGATCAGAGATTCAAATAACCCTTAACGATTACCTACCTCGTTTGACCCATAGACGCATAAGATAATGACAATTTCTATCTCCAGCATTGCCAGTATGTATGCCCACCTTCCTTCTTCTTTGTCAACCTCCAGTAAACTCATTCTACCTTAGAATCTGGTGGAATCCAAATTGCAACACCAGCGCTCCCAGGACGAGGTGCATGTGCTTTGAATGTTGTATAGGGTCATATCTGTTTATGACAATGATTGTGGATGACAGTATCCATGAGGTGTGTTTCTTGGATACAGATGACGTTAGACCATTCTTTTCCCCCTATTTCCCTAAGTTGGTCATAGATGGCTTGCTTCTTTTGAAACTTGGCAGAGGCAAGACCATTAATGTTCAGGGATCTAAAGTCTAAATCAGCTTGGCTCTTGAGGTATTTCCATGTTTTGTCCTTGTTGTATAATGCATCAATTTTCTGAAAATTCTCCATTACAAGCAGGGCAGACACCATTGACCATTGTTAGGGGATTAATTTGAAGGTTGAATAGGCTGGTTTAGAGGGTCTGCCACGGACCTAAATCTAACAGGCCCCATGACACTAGAATGCGTTGTCCCAAAAGTCGAACATGCAGCGTTCCTACATCAGTTTCTCACCAAAAGTTGTTTGCCTTAACTTTCATTAGTTGCAGTTCCGTCAGGAGGTCTTGGTTGAACCACTTGAGGTCAAGCGGCCTGCAAACGTCATATTTTAAGAAGACATCCTATTCAACCAACCGCTGATCTCCTTCGGAGATTGTCAAAGTGACACTACAGTCAGGCGAAAGTTTATCCTTGATAAATCTTCCTACCTCATGTTTAATGAGTGACTCTCTTCCTAGCCTGCCAGTCTTCGTGGAGAGAGAGAGAGAGAGGAAAGGAAAGGTAGTACCCAACATTGTCACTTCCCAATACACCGCTCCCTGGGGAATGGACAGTCCTACTTCCCACGTACCATCCTTGAGCTTGACCAGTATGAGAACGATACCCGTCTTAATTGGAGAAAGTATCCCCTGACCTTTTGCTAGTCGGTGTTTCAACCGCTGATGCTTTGTTGTAAGTTCGGGGTCTGTAGTGACAGTGAATGAGGACAGCAGGGTTTGAGGAATTTGGGAATTTTTTGTTTCTGCAGTTTCTGCAGATTCTGCAGGTTCTTTTTCCTTTCCACCTGGGCTGCGATTTGGTAGGTCCTTAGTGAGATCCACTACCTGCACCGTCTGCTGCATTAACTCTTTCTCCTTGGATGCAGGGCCTAAGACAACCAACGCTTGATTTAAGTGAGGTAAGTCAGCTTCATTCCCCACTTTCTCCCCTTTGTGACTTGCCCTGGGCGGGGAGTATGTGGGGTTTGTTGTCTTCTCCAACGCCCTGTCAGTAATTCAAGTCCATTGGTTTCAGGCCGAAGGCGTCCCTAAAAGGATCAACGTCCATGGGGATTACCTTTGCCCCTGCATCAGGTTCACCGCGTTCCTCCCCCTGCCCTTGCCCTTCATCCCTTTCCTTACCCTTTGCCAGACTCGTGGTTTGTCCTGGTGTGTCAGCCTGGTTTTCTTTTGGCTTTGCCATTCCTTTTCTTTTCACTTCGCACCATTCTAGGCCTGTTCCACTTTTTGGCAGATAGTCCATTGCCCTTGGGCCCAGAGATCTTTTCGAACTGCCAGATGGGGGAGTAGCCAGTCCCTTGTGCTTTTTATTTTCCCTGACCCCCCCTTCATTAATAACCAGCTTCACCGTGACCATCACCGAGGCTGCAGTTCAGGTTTGTTGCGCCATGGCTTGCAGTGTTCTTCCACGAGTAACGCCGAGGTGGTGGATGAAGAGGAGGGCGGGGGGGGCATGGGAGGATCTCAGGCAATGCGATGATGTGACGGAGTACTTTTGGGAGAAGCTGCGTATGTCGCCATGTGTTTTTCGAGCGATGGTGATTGCATCCAGTGTGGATGAACGCCTGCGGGATGCGCTGTCGATGTCAATGTCGATGTCGACTACAGTCGGTGTCGATCCCTTGTCTTCTCTGTTGGACACCTTCGATAGAGGTTGGCCATCAACGATAGAGGAAGCACACGTGGAACAGGAGGACCATGACAACCAAAATTGTGACTAGGAGCAGCAGTGGCAACCCTCAATAGAGGTCGGCCATCAACAACACGTATGACAGGTCCGTAATTCTACAACGACGATGAAGGTCCACCGAACGGCGATGATGAAGGAAGCAGACGGTAGAGGACAGCATACGACACATGCACTCTAACGGGCCGTATGCCCTTGCACTGCGAGCCGGACTGTGGCCTGCGTGGTGACTTCTGGAGTGGCCCACTGAAGACCTGCTCTTTGCTTGCCGCCCGTCCATGCTGACGTCCTTCTTCACAGACCGCCTCTTACGTGTACATCCAGGTGCCCTACCGAGGATGCAGACGTGGAAGAAGACGACAAGGACAAGCAAAAGGATGACCAGGAGCAGCAACGACAGCCTTCGAAAGACGTCGGCCATGAAAGGCAAGTGGGTTAGGGCAGTAGCTAGACGATGACGGTACACCTCCAGGAAACGACGACGAAGAGGCCTGCAAATGACAGACTGCAGCATGGGACAAATGCCTTGTAACGTTTTTCGTCGCAGAATACAGTGGGCAATCGGATATTCAAATTTGTCGACCGTTCGACCCCTTTCCGTTTGGTGGCATGCATTGAGAGGGAGAACACTAGTCGACGACGTCCGCGGGGGCCGACCAGCCATCAACACTTAGTGTTGGCATAAGGTTCCTGGAAGCCGAACACTGAAGTCCCAAGATGTCCGGTAGGAACTCCAATGGACAAGCCAACAAAAAATTCTTGTCGACGACGGGCGCCCTCGCCGCTGCGATTATCGCGGATCCCTTGACCTCAAGGAACCTCTTGGGGAATGCCACCAAATGGCTGTAGCCCGAGGACGCCCCGAGGATTCCCCAAGGAAATGTTTTCCATTTATTTTTTTTTCGTTTTCATCCCCAAGGATAGGTGGAACGAAATTTTCCTCGAGGGATTTACGCGCCCGAGGAATGTCTAACGAGCCCCTGCGTCCTTTTCTGTTTTGTGACATATACGACGGGTGTGCTGTGTGACTGGGAAGTGCCGTATAATCGCAAATTGGCTCACATATAATTTGCGATTGTACGTGCTAATGTGAGTATGCCTTAAATCGGTGGAGCACTACTCCAAGTAATATGTTACTAATGCTTCTTTTTTTTTTTTTAATATGTTACTAATGCCAGACATAAGGTTTTCTCTAAATACTGAAAGCTTTTTTTTTTTTTTTTTTTTTTTTTTTTTTTTGGAGAACGTTCGTTTGATTACAAAAAAGATGAATTGGGACCGGGGCTTCCCACAATTCAACCCGAAAAGTAACCTCTGGCAGCCTTAGCCAGTTTCGCTTTTGACGGGACCAGTAGGACCCGGGATGCGTCTGAGTTGATTTATGTCTGCATCTCTGAGTTCACATGTGTGTACCACTACTTCTGTTATTTCTGTTACTACTAAGCTAACAAGAGGGTGCGAAAGCCTAGTTTTATGTCTTCAAGAAGGGAAGGTGCTAAGTGGAAGGGGGGTAGGGTAGGCAGGGGGGGGAAGAGAGAGGGGTCCGGGGGGAGAAGCGGGGGGAGGGAGCGGGCTGAGGGAGGATAAGGAAAAGACAAATCTTGGTTATAGAACATTTATTCCTACTCGGGACCTACCATTCTAGTCTATAATCTTCACAGGCCTAAAGTTCGACCTGAAACCTGCCCAAAACGGCGGTTGGAGCCTGTACAGGCTCCCCAACTTATGAAAGACACTCTCCTCCCTCCTCCCCTCAGCTAACCTGCTGGTGGCCTATTGTGGCCTGAACAACCGAGTGCACTGGTTAAAGAAAGGGAGGGGGAGAAGAGACCGAGAAGAAAGAGAGTGAAGAGGGAAGGAGGGGAGATCGAGAACAAGGGACGTGGGAACAAGTCTAGCAGCGGGGGTGATTAGGGCTGAGACCAGAAACTTGAGGCTCCGCCATGAGTAGCTGACTCAAAGCTCTGTCAGTGACGTCCTGGGTTTGCTGCGGGCTACACATGGAGGTGCTGCAGCATCCTAGTTATAGAGCCAGGGAGTGATGGCCAGCTTGCCGTTAAGTGTGATAGCCGCTAGCTGGTTATCTCTGGCCCATGTAACCAAGAACCAAAGTCTTCTTCTGGGTGAACGACCTCTGGCTGCCTTCCGTACCCAGTCGACTCTGATTAGAGTCCGTATCCAGGTCTTTATCTTCCTGATGAGCATGGAATCGCTGGTCCACTGTTCCTTGAACATGATGTTTTTTCTGTCCTCCCAGAGGACCCAGATGATGACTGCTCGAATAACTTGTGCCACGTAGCCCCTGCCCTTGCGTTTGAACCAGGACGACGGTATATTCCCGTACATTACCCAAGTCTCGTCCCAGTTCAGCAGCGTGCCAACAAAGCGATGCCAGTGTCTCTCCCACCATTGCCACACTCGCTTCGAGGCTGGGCATTCCCAAAACAAGCGCACCAAGGTCTCCTCATGGAGCCTTCCGCATCTTCTACATTTCGTTTCCAATTCCAAGCCTCTTTCATAGAGCCATTCCGCACATGGAATGGCTGAATGGGACAAGAGCCAGAGCACGCCCGCCATCTTCTGCGAGGGGAGATCAGGGAGTTGGTCCCACAGCTTACGGAGCTCACGACTGGTCACGGGTTGACTGCTTGTGGTGTGCCTGCTGAGTGCTGCTGCTGCCACAGTTGGAAGAGCATTCGCCTTGAGGAGCTGCCTTCTGCCAAAGGAGGATGTGTATTGATGCAGATAGATTCTAGTGTCAGACTGCGTTTTCCATGACCAGGCCAAGTGGTCGAGGCGCAGGTACTTGAGAGGGACGCCCTTGAGGAGGAGGTGACTGTGAGTCACCCCTTTCTTTGTGTATTGGTGTACTCGTATCTGCTGGAGGTCTTGTCCAACATACAAGGCAACTTCCCCCTGCAGCTGCAGCTCATTGCTGCAGCTGGGATCTGGCTGTGGTATCCATGCCTGAGCCTGCCACGTGTTCTCGTCCAGTTGCTGCGTTACATGATACGCTGTAATCTGGCCCGCTTGCTGATTGCTGCTATACCACCTCCCTGTGGTCAGCTTCGGGCCTTTTAGCAGCTGCAGCCACTCTGCAGGTACCGCTGCCTGGATCCTCATGGTTCTGTCCTGGATACATTGCAGCCTTCCGAGTTGTTGTTTGAGTTGTTGCTCTGTTTTCCACTCCTCCTCCTCGTCGTTCCAGAGGTCCGCCAGCGTGGCCACTCCCCGCTCCACCCATCTTCGTCCGAAGTTGCCTGCCGTTGCTGATGCTACAAAGGTTCTGCCCTGCGGATCTCGGATCCGTTGGTTGTCGAAGATGTTTTGTCTCAGCACTTCCTCCTTAGTTGCAGGCTGCTCCTGCTCCTGTGGGAGGAGGGTCCGCCATGCTGACCAGCATGCGTTGCCTGTTGGTGAATGAAGTTGCCGACGTCCATTGGAACTCATGAAGAGGCAGGACCAGATGTCCTCCTTTCTGCTAAGTCCTAACTCTTGCTGTAGTAGATATTCTAGCACTTTCTGCCATCCTCTGCGTTCCCCTTGGGTTGCTGCCTTCATTAACCATTTCATTAAAAGTGCAAGGTTCTGCTGTCTTGGGTCGATGATGGTTATTCCCCCCTCTTGTTTGCAACTAGTCACTTTGACCCAAGAGCACTTCGTGATGTACCCTTGTCCCTCCTGAGAGGTCGGCTTCCAAAGATAGCGTGTTGCATCTGCTGTCAGGAGCTTGAGAACCTCTTTGGACAGGAGACAAACAACGGCTATGAACCATACTTGAGCAAAGACAACCGTGTTGATGAGCAGTACTCGCCCCAACAAAGAGGTACCTGCTGCCGTGCGGCAGCGCCGCAAACTTGCTTGGACTCTGGCTTGCACGATAGCTTGCTGTCTTGGTCTAGCATTAGCCAGCGATACTTGCACACCCAAATAGCGTTCTGAGATGTCTGGGGGGGTGCGATTCATGCCCTTGTCTTGACCATCCAGGCTGTATTCCATCGGGAGAAAATAAACAGACTTTCCCCAGTTGACCTGGGCTTCTGAGACCTTGCAGTATGAGTCGAGGAGTGTCTTGGCTTCCCCCATAGACTCCGGTGTTGCTTCCATAACTAACAGAAGGTCATCAGCTATCGCGCCCGTCAGAAGTGTGTCGGATTCCCCTAGTGTAAGGCCTTGGATGCGTGAGGAAGCTCGGGCGGCATTGAGGAGAATCTCCATCTGCACAGCGAACAACAGCGAGGCCAACGGGCAGCCCTGGCACAACGAGCGCGTCAGTGAGAAGGTAGATGATAGAAAGCCATTTACACTAACTGTCGCTGTTGATTCGCTGTAGAGCTCTCTGAGGTGCAAAAGTGCGGTCCGAAGCCCATATGTTGCAGCGTCGCTAGAACGAATGACCAGTTGACACGGTCATAGGCCTTCTTGAGGTCCAACATTGCCGCAATAACTTGCCTCTTCTCTCTTTGTATCACCTCCAATGCTCCAGCAGCCATTAAGATATTCTCAGCAATTGACGTCCCTTGGATGAAAGCCCCCTGATCGGTGTGTACAAGAGCCGGTAGATAGGGGGCTAACCTTACTGGAGAGTGCCTTCGCCAGGATCTTGTAGGACACATTGAGCCTGGAAACCGGTCTCCAATTTCGAATATTAGACTTCTCATCCTTCTTGTAAATAAGCGTGATAATGCCCAACTTCATGTCTTCAGTTAGGATGGCGCCCTCCGGAACTTGATTGTAGAGCTTAAGGAGATATGGTCCAATGTGCTCCCATGCCATGTCATAGAACTCGATTGGCAGCCCATCTGAGCCTGGGCTTTTCCCTCTGACCATGTGTTTAACAGCTTGTTGGAGCTCTTCTGCTGTAAGAGGTTGCTCAAGTACAGTTGCTGCCTCCTGACTCAGACGAGTGTGCGTGTGCTGCCAAAGATCTTGTTCCTCCCGCAGTTGCTGCAAGGACATGTCCGGTTCACGCCGCGAAGTAAGGATGTCCCTGAAGTACACCAAGGCGTACTCTCCAATTGTTTCCGAGTCCGTTGCAGGTGGTGCCTCGACATGGAAGGGGTGCTGCAGTTCCCTCATTAGCGAGTGTTGTCGCTGAGGGCAAAGTCGCTGAAAGGTTTCCTTGGTTAGTCGGTCCGCTGTCTGAATGCCTCTTTCCTGGGCCCTCTTGGCCCATGCAACTTGCTGTTCCACCTGGAGATCCTCTAACCTTTGTAGCCATCTATCGCGCCTGCGTTGCCAGTAAAGCTCCGCAATTGGTTCCTTTGCTAGCTCCTCTTCTGCCTCTGCAACCATTCTTCTGCATTCTTCTTCCTGCTGCCGTCTACCCCTGGCTTGCATTCTGGAAAAGACGTCCAGAGCTCTTGTGACTGTCCTCAGCCCCATTTGCAGCCAGTCGCCTTCTTCTTCGAATTGGTCTTTAGTCTGTTGCCAGTCACTCCAATGTGTTGTGATCCATTTCGAGACCCCTGGCTTGCTGAGCAAATCAGTATTCAACCGAAAGGTACCCAGGCCCCTCACCAGCTGGTCTGGCAAGGTGAAGCCGGCCACCAATGGCCTGTGGTGTGACTGAAATTCTATAAGACAGTCCACAGTCGTAAGGGACTCCCAAGGGGAGCCCTTTGCCAAAATCAGGTCCAACCGCCTCTTCGGCGGGATGCTGTCTCCGGACGTCTGGGACGAGAACCAAGTATATCCCGATGTTGTCGGGTGTGTAGTACGGTAGGTGTCTGTCAGTCCCTGTTCTGTCATCAGCGCGGCTAACATCAACGCATCAGTTTTTGGTGGTGTGAAGGTTGGTGAGTCCAGGCCTGGTACCAAGGTTACATTGAAGTCCCCGACAAGGAGGAGGTTTTCTGTCCTCGGAATGATCGCTGGTAATTCTTCGAGAAAGGAGCGTCTCTTTGCTCTCTCCGCCGGTGCATATACCGTCATAAATGTCCAAACTTCAGTTCCAAGACGCAGCTGCACCCATATCCATCGCCCCCATATGTCCAGGTGGTGGTCCAAAATTTCCATATCGAGCCCTCGATGTATTAAAATCGCACATCCTCCTCTTGTGTCGTCTGCAGGAGCCCAGAATTGGGGTCCTTTCCACCAGTCTCTGGCTTGCTGAATCTTGTCCTCGTTGAGTTTAGTTTCCTGCAGGAGAAGAAAGTGCACTTTCTGATCGTGTAGCCAGGTTTTCAGCCTGGGCTTCTTCTGCCGGTCCGCCGTGTCTCCCAGCCCCCGTACATTCCAGGTAGACACTTTAAGGTCCGGCATTGTTTGAGTCTTGTGCGGCTTGAGCTTGGATCCGCGCGTCTTCCTCAGCGTGCTGTTGTCTTGGCTGCTTTTGTCTTTTGGTGCCCTCCGTCTCCACAGGGTTGCTCCACGGTGCCATGAGGAGCGTCCGGAAGCCAGCTGAATGTGGCTGCTTGTCCACTGCCAAGGTGTTGCAGATCTCAGCCACCAGTTTCGCATTGACATCCTCTGTGAGGTAAGTTTCCTGCAGTTCTTCAGTTGCAGTGGACGCTAACCAGCTAGAAGACAGACAGACTATCCCCTGTGTGGCCAACAACGCAGCCGACTCCAAGGTCACTTTAACATCCAGCACCGCTATGGAGAAGTGCCAGCTACCTCCCGCCGCCGCTGCAGTTGTTTCCTTCCGATACGGATGCCCGACACCATTCGGAAAGGGAACCGCTCAGCAACGAAGCTTGCTGCCACCGCTCTTACTGCTTCCTTGGTCGTGGGAGACTGACTTACTGGGACCGTTGGAATGGCCAGGAGTCCTTTTTTGGTGCGCCAAGCCATGAATTTAGTACCTTGCGGCGATGGCATGAAACATAAAATAACCAGCTGGCGTCTGATGGCCGCTGTCTGCTGCCTGCTGCTGGATGGTTGAGCTACCGTTGAGGAAGGACCCAACGCTTCTGCCTGAGCTGCGGGCAGAGGACCAGCATGTTGAATTGCGTAGAAGTCGATTTCCTCCTCCTCTTCTTCCTGTGTCGTACGACCGTCCCCTTCTGTATTAATTCTCCGCTGCTTGATCGGAGTTCGAAGAGTTAACCTGGGGTCTCTCATTGCCGTATCTACTGGTGGATAGCCCGGGGTGCCTGTGTGTTGCTGTGGGGCTGGTTGGGCCTGTTGAAGCCCAAGATCTTGAGTGGGACCTGCGCTGGTGAGGACTGTGTGTGCCAAGGGTGGGTGGGCGAAGGCCGAATTGTCATAAGTGGTATAGTTTGATGGGACGACGAGGGGGAGCGACGCTGCGGTGGGCTGATGGGTGATGAGAGCAGCCCCGGGGGACTGTGAGTGGTTGCCCTGGGGCGTAGCTGCATGCAATGGGGCTGCCAATTGCAGAGGTGGGGGATGAGATGGGCGAGATGGGGAAGCTAGTGGCGGAGATCTGAGAAAGGCCAGGCTTTGATTGTGTACCAGTGGGGTTGCTTGTGATGGATGTGAGGTATAGGGCTGGACAGGTCGGAAAGGCAAGGATCCTGTGTTCTGTCGGGGGATGCTTTGGTGGGTGTAGGGAGGGGGGTTTGGTGGCTGAGGGGGGTGGTAAGGGACCAGTGGGCCACTACCCTGCGGTAAGGCTGGTTGATAGTCTACTGGTCTGGGTTGGACTGGTACGTGTCAATCCGGGGAAGGCGGGGGAAAATAGGGATGGGAGGGGGGGTGAGTTGGGGGGGGAGAAGGTACTGCGTGAGCCGGGGAGGGGGGGGGGGTAACTGCTCTCTGATCACGAGGGGGCGCTGCTGTGATGGGGGCCGTACGGGAGCTGGGGCCGCGGAATTGGACCCACTCTGACGAGCCGGCTGTGGGATTCCCCCATTCCCTATCTGACGCCTGCCTCTACCTCTGCCTCGTGCTCGTCTACCCGGCGGCATTGGCTCTGTGAAGCGCGGACAGTCAGGGTCGAACTCATCATGATACCACAAGAGACACTTTTGACAGAAAGGAGTGTCCTGATTGGCTAACTGAATTTTCAGGATCTGGCCTGATGGCCTTCTCAGGGCGATCCATTCAATAAAGCTCTGTCGTACTGACGGGTCACAGTCAATCTTCATATTGCCTAGTCTAGGCTCGTCTTTGTTCTTGCCAGGGGGGTGCATGCGTATAATCGGGCCCATTAGTTGCTCGATTGCATTTCCCAGGGAGAACATTGCTCCCAGGGGGACTCAGAGTGCTATAATCCTAAACTTAGTTGCTGATTCTGCATCCCGAATCTGGTCTAGCTCCTGTTGGGTCATCCAAGGTCGGAAAGTAACTCTAATCGGGCCGTCTGTTGAGGGGATTACATCCTCCCCTTTGCCTATCATCATTTGAGCAATCTGTCTCGTTCGGGCTACGTAGGACATAACGTTGGGTCCCTCTCCGTGCGTCCGTCCCCTCTTCTGTGACGGGTTGATTTTGGGATCGTGGAACCATGCATCTTCGTAGATGCGCAGGAACTGTTCCCGCTGGGCCACTGAAAAGCTGGCCGCTGTTGAGTCAAAAATAGCGATTACTGTTCGCTCTTTTAGCCACGCTACCGTAGCCTCGTCGACCTTAGTGCTTAGGTTGAGGTATCCTACCCCATCTACAATTTCGGCAACGCCATGGGCAAAGGAGGTATCCGGAAAAAGGCCATCATCATTGCAGCTGTCCAGGAGGTTTTGGATGCGTGTAAGGTTATCTCCTCCCCCACTGGAGTGGCCTGCCTGAGCTTGGCCAGCCTGATTGGCAGAAGATGAGGGGCGATCCATGGCTCTGATTCCAATAGTTCCCGAGAGAGGGACTCGTGAGCGGCTGTTGGACAGCACAAAGAGTCTGTATGCAGTTCCTGATGAGTGTGTGGGCATCTAGGTGCGTGAGGAATATAATGCTTTTACCGCAGGTGAAATGGACCTTGGGCTGTTTCCTACCAGATCGGTTCAGGTTCTGCCTCTCACTCGAAAAGTAGAGAGTTAACTCTGAGCACAAAGATGAAAACCCCCTGTCTTACTGCATTGCCTTGACCATGCTTGCTTCGATTATATGAGTGGCAGCGAATTGGAGTGCTGCATTCCCAAATTACGGCCAAAAGATTGAATTAAAGGAACAAGCACAACTGCTAGCTGAATCTACGTGTTTGCACTTGGAGCCTTTTGATGTATAGGAAATCGCCACCCGGCGTATTGGCCTGGGAGAGTTTTACTTCCCCGTGGATGTTGATGTAGTCTGGTGCTTGCAGCTTGGGTCGCGGACAGGGTCAGGAGGGTGCTAGCGTGTATCTGACCTCATATGGGTTTGAAAAGTTGAAGCCGTTCGTGTACCCATGAGTAGGGCCTACGTGCAGAAATGCCAGCTCTCGGGGTTAAGTGGATTGGATTTAAGAAGAGATGAGAGCCGACTGGTGATGAGATTCTTAAAGAAGAGAAGAATGTGTAGTGGGGAGGTTGGGGTTCGTAGTAACAGTGATGACTGTCTCTTATACACATCTAGATGTGTATAAGAGACAGGGGTGGGAGTGGGTGGATGAGGGAGGTGGCACGATACTGGGTAAGGAGTGTTGTGAGCGGCGGAGTATGGCGACTATTGAGCGCTTGGGTCAGGTGCGATGAGGACGGCGGGTTCGAAGCGAGGTGCGTAGGGGTAGGATTGAGGGTAATTACCGGGTGGATGGGTGGGGGAGCAGGTAAAGAGGGTACGAAAGTTACGAAGGGGAGTAAATGTAGGATGGTGTCTAGCCACGCTTGTAGCGGAAAAGGGGGGGGGCGATCAGAAATGATAGGGGTAGAGGTATAGGTGATGGAAGACGAGTGAAACGCGAGGTAGATGGGGCGGTGTTGCTAATATATAGTTGGAGGTGTTGGTAGGGAAGGCTAACCTATGTTGACTTTCGGCAATATTATGCACCGCAGTGCTTTGACTGCTTATTCACTTACGGCTAACTGTTGCCGCGCTTGAACTCATCAAGGACAGGGCGCAGGCGCCTGTCCAGTTCCTCATAGTACTCATGAGTTGAAGGTAACCTGTAACAAAACTGGCTCTCCGCTTGTCCCCATACCTCCTCTGCTTGAGTGCGATGCCGAGTTGACCGGGCTATGGCGTCCAGTAAGGTGGTAGGCGATGTTCACTTCTCCCAGCCTTGTGCCGGGGTGGTGACCGGTGAGACCGGCCCTCCTGAGCTGGTAACGCAACTACAGAGCGCGCAGCGCCGGTAGCTCGTCCCCCCGTTGCTCACTGAAAGGTTCTTTTGAATACTGTAGTGTTGATATGATCAAGTCCCTTCACCTGGAAATGATCAAGCCTTTTCTCCCTCTTACCCATATTCGCACTGCCTAGTACTTTCCTGAATGTATCTGACTGGAGTTGCAGCCCGACCTGGATGCATCTCATGGCAATCACGTCCAAGTCCAGAGCTCAGTCGGAAAAGCTCAAGCGTGAGTATACCCTCCCCCCCCATTGCTTGCCAGCCATCCAGAAAGTTTGAGCCAATTGATTGTCAGGCGTCCGTATACTGAGCCAATTGATTTTTTTTGTCCCTTTTCTTATTTTAGACAACCCATTAATGAGACCATAGTAGGGAGGGATGCTCCTATCACCCTACCCTAAAAAAAAAAAAAAAAAAAAAAAAAAAAAAAAAAAAAGCCAACCCGTTGATGGACATCTGTCAGCCGTCCAGATGCGTATGATCTCTTGCATGAATATGATCTCTTCAGCTCAAGTGCTGCCGTTTCATTCGCTTTTTGTTTTTCTATTTTTTGGGGGGGGTCCTATTCCTTACGAGACTCCCTCCCAACCTTCCTCTCTTGTCATTCCTCCCCAGCACGCCCCTACTCCCGCAGCCGTTTTTTTTTTTTTGGGTCCACCTTATGAAACCACTACCCTCCCTTTCCTCACAACAGTTCTACCTCGGTGTTTACCACTCAGGGCTATCACCCTTTTTTTTTCTTTTTCCCTTTTCTTTTCTTTTCTTTCATAAAGTCCAGGGTGTTGTAGAGGTCACCATAGTAGCGGGGGTGACCTGACTGGACAGTGGTTGTGGGCACCAGAGATGCGCAAGACACTGCTCAGCCCTGATTGAAGCATAGTTGGACGATCCCTATTGTACAGGTACTTTGAGCGCTAGGTGTAGGCATTTTCTGTACAAGTCCAGTACATAGGTGGACCCTCTCCCGAGGTGCTAGTGGTGTCTGCTCTTATTAGCACCACTAACACTGGTGGGGGCGAGTTCAAAAAAAAAAAAAAAAAAGG